GTATAATTCATTAACAAAGAGGCACTAAGGGAGTGCAATCCATAAACAAAAAGGGCTGTACCAGCTGAGCATCAATGACTGCTGAAAAGTCTCAACAAAATAAAAAAAAAATTATTTTCTTTTCTTTCACAAGAAAACATTTTGTTCTCAGGTTATTGTTCATAATCATAGCCCTCGAGTCTGGCCAAAACACTACTAGATCAAGTTGAAATTATTCCTGGTCCTTTACCTTACAATTTGGCCTTAAATTCACAAATACCTGCTGTACATAGTTTCTGGACCTTACAGCAAGAACTTTTTTCAATATCCACAACCTACCTTGGATATTGAAATTTCCAAGGAACTTCGAATATGGATTTGCAAAGGGATCAACACAACTAACTCGAGGAACTTAAACTAATCAAATCAAATAAAATCAGTACAGATTTAATTAACAATTAGCGTAGATCTACGTATTCAACTCCATCACTAAAAATTGCAATAAAATGAAAGCTGACAATCTCACAAGAGATGAGCAATTTTAACATGGTAACCCTCAATTGAATCTCTTCAATTGAGGAAAAAGCCATGGTACATTGTTGGAGAATCAAGCACTATGAAAATTGAGTGATTACAAGAGTTTAGATGAGTCCACGTTTCTCAGATCTGATAACATCTTGCCGAGTCCACATTCATCACTCGCGAAGCTTGAAACACCTCGCCGGAATCCACCAACTATCTCCCAAATTGCCTTTGAGAGCCACTGAAGGACTTCCAAGATCAAAGTATGAAAGGTTTGAAGTGTAATGAGCCTTGAAGTGTTCAATCCATCTCCATAGATCCGTAGATCTCTTCAGAAGAAAGTATCTTCAAAATGATGATTTTCTTCTTAAGTTGTGAAGCCTTTTGGAGTTTTGGAGCAATGTGCCATCAGTGGCTTCCACAAAGTCCATCGACTTTGTCACATCTGCTTCTTCAAGCAATATATTGAATTTGTGCAAATAATTCAGTCTCATTGTCAAACTTAATTTCTCATCTATTGTGTGGCTAGATTACTATTATAGGCTTTGGAAGCCTAAAGTGAAGGCTACGGGTCACATGGTCATGAAGAAGCCTTTTTGGTCCATAGGGAAGTGTCCATGGTAATGTTTTGGTTATTTATTCACATTTATTCTAAACTAGTATGTTGCTGGACAATTTTATGTTATTATATCATGGTTTTGTAGTTAGAGGTATTTTGGTAATTTCATGAATTGCTGGACATGGATGGGTTATAAATTGGGTCAAGTAATGTTATTTGTTTTTTAGTTGGAGTCCTAGTTAATCTAGAAGATTTTATAGTCATCAAAAATTCTTAATTTCTAAATTAGATGTGTGAATCAGAGCTGGTTGGCAGCCCTCGCCGCAACTTTTGAAAGTCAAGCCCAAAATTGCCTTTTAAGTCTGGAAATCCTAGAAACTTTCTTCTTCCTCATAAAACCCTAACCCTATGACACATACAATTATAGGATCCTATTTTCTAACTACTCTTGGTGCCTAGCTATTTTATGGACTGACAATGAGGACTATGATTCCAAAACTAGAAAACTATAAACTTACTAAAATACTATTATGTAAATGCTACAGATTAGATGTGAAGACCTGATACTGCATCTGGAGTAAAGTACAACCATGGACCCCTACCACGAGCCCATATCTAGCAAATCCACAATATCAAAAATATAAGGCTTGACACCTAAATCTTAATAAATATAGATAAAAACTACAACAGCTGTAGACTAACCTGTAGAAAACATTACATGAGAATCAGATTCTTGTTGTACAAGATCCCTAGCAATCCATGTAGTACGTTCGCCATTTGCCTCTTGTTAGCATAGCATACTCCACATTACTTAGCTGCAGTTTCTTTTGAAGTCAAAATTGGGGCTAACATGGTAGAATTAACGTTTTCTCTTAGTTTTAGGCTATGTTACATGGACTTGGGTTCTAGTATCGGGTGTGGGTGCGTGTCCAAGTTTTAAACTCATAAAACTAAATCTTAGGATATTGGAATATGTATCCAAAAGTTGGATATCATAAATCTGAATCTTAGGGTATTTGAATATGTATCCAAAAGTTGGATATATGTACGGGAATGTGTCATGGACACTTGTATATGTTGCATATTATATAATATTCTTAGATAAGCTAAAGATGTAAATTATGTAGAAATTTACTTGAAATTAAATAAGATTTTGGAAAAATATGGAATCTCCCTTTTATCCATGTGATCCTAGAAATGTTTATTTACTAACAAATGTGAGTTTCTTCTTCTTCTTCAAACATTAACAATTAGACGATTCAAGTTCCTCAATTGGATACGAGTCTCGGACACATATCTTGCACCCATCTTACACCCTTTACCTTTGTCAAATTCGATGGACACATCTACTTTGGGAAAAATAAAAGAGTTGATTTTGGAAAAATATTGAATCTCTCTTTTATCCATGTGATCCTAGATATGTTTATTTACTAACAAATGTGAGTTTCCTCTTCTCCAAGCATTGTAAAAAATTAGATGATTCAAGTGCCCAAAATTGGGTACGAGTGTCAGACACATATCCCACACTCTTTACCTTTGTCAAATTCAATGGACACATCTATTTTGGGAAAAATAGAAGAGTCCATGTAACACTGGTTCTGGGCAGCCAACTAATGTGAGCTTATAATCAGGCTACCTAGGGTTACTACATGGAATGAAAAAACTTCTTTTCATGCAGCGTCCTGAGATTTACCATCAATCTTTGGGACAAAAATAAATTAGGGATGTAAAAATTTAATCTTTACTGCAACTTTTGGATGTATATATCTATATATATTACATAAACCATTATATCTCTCAAGTATCTTAAAAAAATATGAATTCTCTGGCATGCCTTTGCAACTCAAAACAAAATGTGTGAACTTTTTAGTAAAACCTTATTATGTCTGCATGCATTGAAAGATAGAACTATTCTAGGGTATTATTTACTGAATGAGTGCACCGCTAGTGTTAGTTGGAGTGATATTATGACTTTCTAGTGTGCACTGTTAACACCCCTTATTTCAGTATCTAGAACATGGAATGTTTTGAGTTAGTAATAGATTTTAGGTACTAATACCTGTTTTAACATTTTAAAGAAAATGTTGTTGTGACTACTGCTGGCTTTCTTCTCTCTTTATTTATTTATTTTTGTACAACTGCAGGGTGTTTGCTTCGCAGCTTCCCTGCCGATGTGGTGTACGACAATTCAACAGGCTTCAGTTTCACATGTGACTTGAGTGACAATATTGCAGCTCCATGGCCTTCGTCATCTTCTATTACATCCTTGTCTCTTTGTGCTCCTGGTAAACTGTGTGGGAATAATCATATTTATCTATTTATTGCATAGGTGTAGGTTTTATGGATACAAAAAAGTAGAAGAGCAAGAAATGACGTACTGGTTCTGTGAAGGGTATATTTTTGGTTTGTTTTGACAGCCATGTTCTAATGGGGTACTGCTAATTTTGCAGAGATGTCATTGCCTGCACTACCAACATCAGAGACTTTGGGAAGTCCTGGTATGTACCATTGTCTGTTGTGGTTTGATAAATAAAGTCATAACAATAGACATAAACTGGCTTGAGATATAAATGAAATGGGTAAAGGTTATTCACTAGAAGTAAATAAAAGAAAATGCAATATAATGCTGTTGCAAGACTTTTATGTTTTCTTCTGCCAAAACATCCTCCAGTGCAGGGGAAAATAAAGTCTTTCCGAAGTGGCTTTTGGAACATCCCATGGAAATTAAATCAGTTACTTCACATTGAAATTTTTTGCATGGCATTATTTAGGTTTCTAGATAAAGACATTATTTTCATTGTGCATTACAAGTTTTGGTGATCTGTTTGTATTTCTGCAGTGCGCTCTCTGTCTGTCTGTCTCTGTCTCTGTCTCTGTCTCTATCTCTGTGATTTCCCCTTAAAATGATGAGTTTTCCAGACTGTTGACATGTGAAGATTTACAATTCTGTATTACTGCTGAAAATGAACATGATAAATTTCTTGAGCAGTGTTTTGTTGGTGCAATATATATAGCTTTCTTTTATGATGCTCCTGCACATGTTTTGCTGCAATTTATTAATATCTTTGTTGTCAGTGTCGTCAGTGTCGATGACTAATGACTTCAGCTTATTTGTGATGCAGGCTATCGAAGTGGAGTTGAATTCCTTGTGCCCATTTTTTCGTTTTTTGTTTTCAGTACGTTATTGTACTGAAAATTTAGCTGAGGGGGGATCCAGTTTGAATTAGAGGCTTTCTGAAAGGGACTTTTTTGTGTGGCCGGATTCCGTCATGTATATTTTGAGTTTCCTCTCATGTATAGCAGCAGCTGTTCTTTTTGGGTTATTCATATTCTTGATTCATGTTAGTTCTGGAACCTGGTGTGGGTAGTGGTTTTTGATGTTTTGAACTGGAGAGAGGTCTGACATATGTAACCTGCCGTAGCTTTTTAAAGTTGTGGGAACTTCTACGCCGTAGCATTGTGCATTTAGTACTAGTAGTATCAAACTGTGCTTGCAAGTAAGCCGGCTTTCATATACATACAGATGTTTCAATTGTTTATGCCAGTCAGTAAGTCTGTTTGGCTGAATTCCCAAAACTGAACCTGCTTGTGAAAGTGGCATGAGAGAGCACTGCACACCCACCACGTGTGAATGGGTGGGTCTCGTGTTTTATTGATCTGTAATCTGGACATCTTGTTCACCTCTCTGGAATCTCATCACCTGTTTTGTTGGCCTATGGGAAATTTTAGTCATGGAGCAATTGGTACTTTGATCGATTGTACTGTTACAAGTGGTTAAAGGACGGTAATGATTGTGCTACTCGAATCATCTGGTTTTAGGGTACGCTATTACAATACCTTAAAAATGCTCTGGACCATTAGATCATTTCAGCTAATTTGTGACGGCCATAGCGGAAGCCATTAACAGGTCCAAAATTAAACAGTCGACAAAACTTCGTTCTCGTCTTTGGTCCTTTCGTCATTTTGTTTTGTCCAAGCTTTCTTATCAATCCCATTCCTGGTCTGAGATGAGTTCGACCTCGAAGTGGCAGTAGATAGTGATTGCAAACAAGATGGCAGTAGGTACCTCTGCTTATACATTCTACGGCTTAATGGATTCGGATCTTCTTTTAGGTAGTGTTTGATAGCATGATTCAACTTTTAATACTTAATTGATTAAGTGATAATTAAATAAGTCTATTTAATAATTATAATTGATATCACTTATAAATTTGAGTGACTCTTAAAATGTAGATTAAAATTTTAAAAAACATTAAAGTCATATAAAACTTATTTAATTTTTACTGAATTTATAAATATTAAAATGCCAATAGTAAATACTATTATAAATTTATCATCACCATCATTACCACCACCACCATCATGCTACTGTCATCACTATCGCTACCACCACCACTATAACCACCATCATTATGCCATCGCTACTATTACCACCACCACCACCATGCCACCACTACTACTATCCCATTTCTATAACCATCACTGTCATCATGCCACTGCCACTACTACTATCCCCCTTACCATCACTACCATTATGTCACCCCCACCACTACCATCATTGCTACCACTATTTCTACCACTATAATGTCGCGCCATCACCACCACCACCACCACCACTATGCCACTGCCACCACTACCATCACAATATAAAAAGTAAAATATATAATTCGAAAATAATAATTTTCAAATTTAATTTTATAAATACCAAATAATTTTATTTTTAATTCAATATTTAAATTTTTATTAAACAGTTTTTTAACTTAAAAAATTCAACACTTAATTTTTAATTTTTCAATTTTGAGTTTTATCAAACAGCACTATACTCTTGTGGGGAAGTATTTTGTGAATGACAAAACATGGTTAAGGTGACGAGGAAGTGTCAGCCGAGGAGATAAGGGACAAGAGTTCGGAATTCGAGGTGATAAGGGCCTGGTCATGCTGCCGAGATGATCTCGGATAGGTCGAGGTTATTTGCGGAGATATCGAAATTCGAGATAAGCAGATAAGGGATAAGAGTCTTAGAACTGAGGGTCTCAATTTGGATAAAGATAAGGCTCAAGAGGAGTTTATCTCTATCTAGATAAGGGTCCAGGATGAGCATTGAGCTTGAGTTCATTGAAGTGAGGCTTTTAAAGGGATCATGTCATCGTTAGTTATAAAAGTGAGGCATCCTTGTGGATCGAAGGTAAGTTTTTTCTTGTGAGTTTAAGCAGTATTTGTTATCCGTGAGAGATATTGATTGTTGACTTGATCGTCTGAATATCCCCAGATGGACGAACCACCGTCAGACTCTCATCTTCTTGCAGGTTGTTGGGCTTAATCTATTCTGCCGGTGCTCTCCAGCTGAGTTCCTCATTTGGTTATGTGGTCAAAAATCAACACCCACACAATTTGGTGCCGTCTGTGGGAACTTAAGGAGAATAGATGGCCAACAACGGGCAGGAAGAAAAGATTGAAGATGACATCCACAGTGAGAGTGGTGAGCATGCAAATCCAACGTCGGGAAAGAAAACCGCAATGAAGGAGCATAAGATCTAAATCCTAGAGAGAAAGACGTCGGCAAAGAGGGTAACACCCCGAAGAAAGCTAGTCGAGATGAGTATTATAACGAAAGTGACCTCTAGGTATGGAAGGATATGTGCCTGAGGAGGGACGACGAGATAAGGAATGACAAACAAGTTGGCAAACCTACAGTCGGTTGTCAACTTCATGATGTAGAATAACGTGATGCAACCATCGTTCCTGTTGCAGGACACGTCGGTACCAATGACAAAGACTGACGTCTAGAAAGGGGGGCAGAAAACAATCCTAGTAGTCCTGCAGCATGGCAAGGAAAAGAAGCACTCGCATCGGCCTTCACGAGAATGTTGGGCGAGCAGAGTCACTGAGAGGTGAGTCGCAGAAGACGCCTCGTACCAACGGAACTTATGTCAGCGAACCTCGGCATGTCCAAGGGAAGGGCCTATGTTTTGATACATTGAATGAAGAGAAGTCCAAGAGGACACACAATGACACTAGGAGCAGCGCGTCAAAAAGGCTGAAACTTGTTGATAGCCGAGCTCCTGGTCAAACGAAGGAGGATTTGAGAGACTACCTCTAGAGGAAGCGATCAACGCCGAGGTCACATCCCCCGTCAAGCCGAGAATGCCGTTCTCAGTGGAGTTGGATAAGTTTGAGGCCCCAAAGAGGTTCCATATGTCGAGGTTCCAGATTTATGACGGTAAGACTGATCCGAACTTTTATGTCGGCTTATATTTAAATTCAATGGCTTTGTATAGCGCGAACGAGTAGTTGTTGTGCAAGGTGTTCCCTCATCCTTTGGGAAAATCACAACGAATTAGTTCCACAAGTTGTCGAAAGGAACTGTTAAGAGCTAGGAAGGCCTGGCCAAGATGTTTGTGGCCAGATTTGTTACTAATAAGTTGCAGCCACTAACGGTAGACTTCTTACTGGCTTCGAACATTAGCGAGGGTGAGAGCCTTAGGGCTAACGCTAAGAGATATTACGAGGTGTTCAATCGAATTCCTGCTTGCAACCAGGAGTTTTGACGGTCGTGTCCTTTAAGAACAGCCTAGATGATGAATGCTCGCTTCGGAAATCACTAGCAAAAACTCTACCAAAGAGTATGGAGGAGCTCAAGGCACGGATGAAGAAGTATGCCAGAGCAAAAGAGGACACGCAGGGGACAAAGGCACCAAAGCAGGAGAAGAGAAACGGCTCACTGAAGCGAGGCCGAGGTAACATTGGCTTTAACAGGTAGGGAACAGGGTTGAGGGCCGTACAAGCAGTCACCACTGCATCCGGGATCTTGGTCTACAAAGTTCTGGAAAGGATTAGGAACCAACCGTATTACAGAGCGCCGGAGAAGATCCCTGGCGAGTTTATGAGAAAAAGCCTTACGAAGTATTGTTCTTACCATAATGAGGATGGGCACTTGACTCAAGGATGTAGGGCTCTGAAGACACGCTTGGAGGATTTGGTCAGACAGGGCCACCTGAGAGACCTAGTAGATGAGGCCAAGATAAGGAAAGAGCAAGCAAGGCTACCCCAGGCACTAGCAGCGCCACCTCCACTACCGCTACCGCAGCAAGCAGATGAACCTTGGGTGATCAATGTGATTCACTTGAAGGTGAATGAAAATGATGTATGAGGGGAGACTCAGAGAGTGAGGCATCTATAGCATTTGTATCAGGTCCAGCAAAAGAAGCCTAGGACGAATGAGTACCAGGGACCAATGGCCTCTTTTACTGAGACAGACCTAGATATGGTGCAGCATTCACACAATAATACCCTGGTGATGACGCTGAAGATTGAAGATTTCTAGGTGAGGCGCATACTGGTTGATCAAGACAGTTCTTGTGACATCATGTATGTTAGATGTTACAAGGAGCTTGGCCTTTACCCAGATGATCTGGAACAATCCAACAGCTCAATGGTTGGATTCAACGGAATGTTGATGTGGCCTCTAGGAGCCACAAATTTGGAGGTGCAGGTAGGCACCAAGAAGATAAGCACAGAGTTTACAATGATTGACACCCCCTCCTCTTATAATTTTATCTTGGGTAGACTGTGGAAGCCAAACCTGCCCCTATAGGTTTAGTATCATAACCGGCCAATAATTCATAGATTACCGAAGGCCTCTTAACAATAATCATATAATTAGAGGCAAACGACAACACATAAACAAAATATAACGTCCATAGAGCTGTGTAGACTAATATGTGACAGAAAATGTAAAACTTATATTCACAAATAAATTCATAGTGATGTCATAGGCATATACATATCATTGGCTTACGTCACCCACTGCTAAACAAAACCAAAAAGGGACTTAGCCCAAATTTTAGATTATACAAAAGTCTAATTCAACAAAAGAAAGAAAAAGATAAAATCAGACATCACATGCACTACTAGATCACTGAAACACTTAAGAACCTCCTTGGGAGGCATGGTAATTGGCTTGACACAACGGAACTTCGGGCTGGCAACTTATGCTTGGTCACGCATCTTATCACCTCCATACATAAATAATACAGTGAGCTAGGGCCTAGTGAATAACAACAGGGTAATGATGTCCAAAACAGCTTCAGAAATCAGAGTTCATATCAGAAACAGATTCAAATTCACTTATTTATACAAAATTCATAAGCAGTTATATGTGGTACATCCATTAGTTATCAGATCAGATTGGTCATAGACCTACATGCATAGTTGGTACCGACGACCATAAAGGTCAACATCTTTATGCACAAATAGCCATGGTATTGTTACCCCCAAGCGAGGGCCAAGTGAACATAGGCCATGGTATTGTTACCCCCGGGCAAGGGCCACATGAACATAGACCACGATATTGTTACCTCCGGGCAAGGACCACGTGCATATTGGCCACAACATTATTACCCCTAGGCGAAGGCCACATGAACATAAGCCACGGTATTGTTAGCCCCAGACGAGGGCCACCTGAACTAAGGATGCCACAAATACATTTCAGAAAAATGGACATTCATTCATGATTCATAAAATAGCATTTTA